CTTCGTTTCTTTATTCGACGTTTCTGATGTTTACGTTGCGGTATTAGTTTTAAAACTAAATCGTAAATTAATTGGATAGAATTCATTTCAAATAACGGAGCTGAGCTTTGTTTCGTTTGTTGGCGGTGGTGGTGGTTCCATTCCCATTTAGTTTAAGATTGGTTTTGTTTTCGTTCTTATCAATTCAATGTCAGAATTTATCAAAAATTCTGTTTTTTTGTTTTCATTTCGAACAACAACAATAGTCGCTAGTCGTTATGAAGGGGTATAGCCTCTTAGTTGAGGCCTCGGTGTTGTTTCGTTTTCAGTTCTAAGCTAATCTAAGCAACTACGACAAAAAATACGTTTTTGTTTTGAAGAAAATTGTTTACTGCAGACTTTAGTTTTTAATTTTTGTTATCACAGGCACTGCACTTGGATATCACAAAAAATAAATAAAACTTTGAGAATATAAATAAAAATAAAAAAATTGCAAGATTTGTTTACGTTTTTTGCTAATGCGGTCACTCATTCACGAAGTTTCTTGAATTGAATATTTCAATTTTAAAGCTAATTGAAACGCCAACATACCGGCTGCCATTTAATGTACCATTCTGGAATAATATTATGAATTAGTTTTTGATCCAAGTGCGGATTTAATTTATCCACGATGTAAAAATAATAAAATTTCCCGTGATATAAATGCAGGGAACTATTTATAACCTATATAACTATGTTGTGAGAAAGGTGTGTCCGTCAGTACAGTACAGGGCACTATCGTCACGAAATGTTAATGTTATGGACAAAAAACTTTATTTTTGTCTGTTTTCCTGCACACATTTTCTTTAGCTTCCAAAAGAAAAAATTGAAATATTTCCAATTTTAGGTTTCCAGATCTATCTGTATACCCCAAATGCAAATTGTACTAAATTTAGTAGCACTTACCCATAGTAGCAGTACCCATAAGTACGAATTTCCAGCCCTATCCATTCAACCAAATCCAAATTGTACAAAATTTAGTACCATTTAGAACTACTCATACTCATAAGTAAGAATTTCTAAAACTACATCAATCATACACTCCAACCGTAGTCTTAATTCCACCAAATTTCAAATTATACCAAATTTTGTACTTTCCGTACTCATAAGTACGAATTTCCAAAACTAACTGAGCCAATAGTAATCGTTAATCCAAATTTAAGAATTTCAGATCTATATGCTCACCAAAATCCAAATTGTACCAGATGTGGTACCATTTCCAAAACTATCTCAATCCTACACTCCGACAGTAATTTTAGATGCAATTGTCAGGATTCCAGTTCTATCCATTCACCAAAGTCCAAAAGTACGATTTTCTAAAACTATCTCAGCCATGCACTTCAATAAAAATCTTAGGTCAACATTTAAGGATTCCAGCTCTATCTGTTAACTAGCATTGAAATTGTACCAAATTTGGTACAATTTATTACTTTTCGTAGAAGTGAGTACGATTTTCCAAAACTTCCTTGATTCTACACTCCAATAGTAATTTTAATCATAAATTTCAGGATCCCAGACCTATCCGTTCACATTGACGCAAATTGTACCATATTTAGTACCATTTAGTACATTTTGTGTTTCCAAAGGTACGAATCATCCGTACTAGCCAATTTTAATTGCGAATTTCAGGATTCCAGCCTCAATCAAGTTGTACCAAATATAGTACCATTTAGTACATATAAGTACTAAGCCTCCATATCTCAATTCTAACATTATTCCAAATTTTAGGTTTCCAGCTCTCTCCATCCACACAAATCCAAATTGTACAAAATCTATTGCTCAATAAGCTGCATCCGTTCACCCAAAATACATATTGTACTTTTTTTTACCTATACAACACTACTTCCCAACCTGTATTCCATTAAATTTCAAGATTCCATCTATAAGGGTGAGATAAAAAAACTGCAACAAAGTCCAACGCCATCATTCTTACATTTTTTTTAATTTTATTGAATGAAACCAGAAAATGACCGAAATAGCATCAAATTTTAGAATAAGTTTAGTTTTGTTCGAATTGGCGGAAACCGTCACACCCGGCCCGAATATTGCTCTGCGGTATTTTAGCCCATTCCCGACGAAGCGCTTGCTTGAGTTGATCGACACTTTGGTATATTTTAGTGCCAACCTTGCTTTCCAAAACACTCCTGACACAATAGTCCAACGGATTGGTATCCGTTTTTTGTCCATTGTGCGCTGGAAATGAAGCGAGGAACCTCATTTCGTAACCATCCAAAATGTTTGCGTGCCCAAGGTTTTAATACACTATCCAGAATATTTTCGCGATAATATTCGGAATTAATTCTGACGCAACGGTCGATTAATACGATCGGAGAACGACCATCGGCTGTTATGGCGGCCCACACCATCACCATGGCCGGTGCTTGGGTCCTGGTGGCCAACCGAAGGTGCACATTTTCAGCTGACGTCTTTGGCAAGAAAAAAACACGATCATTTTGTTTGTTTACAAACTGCTGGACAACGAATGTTTTCTCACCGGAGAAAACCAAATTCGGCAGTTCACCACTTTCGTCCAAGCGAAGCAACTTTTTAGCTCTTGTGAGTTTATTTTCTTTCTATTGCGATGTAAGTTCTGGCACTTTTTGGATTTTCAAGGGCTTTACCCCGAGCTCATTTTTCAATATTTGCCGAATGGAATATTGTTCAACTCAGGAGCCACTGCGATGAGGTTTTCGATCAAGTCGCTTCTATACTTTTCGAACAATTTCTGCTGATGTTGCTGTTTACTTCCGTTCACTTCATTGACGTTGGGTATGATGGTACGAGACTCAAAAGATTTATTCACATTTAAATGCTGGAGTGCTCTAACGATAGCCACTTGTGGTTTTCCTGCCAAATATAAAGAACATAACTTTTTTTCTGGAAAATTCTCACAAAATGCTTTTGTACGCTTGTAAACAATATAATGAGCTGTCACTGGAATAATTTTAAAAGCTGTCGGACGAGTGACTTAGAATTAACAGCAGTCTGAAGTTAGTTGCAGTTTTTTCATCTCACCCTGTAACTCCCAATATATATACAATTATAACTAAATTTAGTAATGTTTAATACTTTTCGTACATTTAAAGTACGAATTACCACAAAACAGTTGGTACATCTTTCTAACTTTCCATCAGGGACCCACATTCCAAAATTTCAGAATTCTTTTTGTCATTCGGACGAACATTGGAACTGCGGGGTTTTACTATGGGAGCTATATTTAAATCTGAACCGATTTTCGCCAATTTCATACGAACGGACAGACATACATGCATAAATCGACTCAGAAGGTGATTTTATGCATATTATTTTCACCACACTGTGGTACAGGGTATTATGTCTTTGTGCATATGTTTGTAAGATGCAAAATGAAACGTAGATAGAATCACTTTCTGAGTCGATTTATGCATGTCCTTCCATCCGTCTGTTAAATTATAAACAAAATACAGGTCGCCTTTATTATCCGATTGGGCTCACAGTTCATTTATTGGGGCCAGGGACAAACCCTTTTGAATTTGAAGAAAATCGGTTCAGATTAAGATATAGCTTCCATATATATTTTCGTCCGATTTTATGTAAATGGTGCACCAAAGTCCCTATATATATTTCGATGTGCACGAAAGTTGGCATATCGTACTGAAATGTTCCGATTTAGATATAACTCTCATATATATATATATATATATATATAAGTCCGATTTTATGTAAATGGTGCACCAAAGTCCCTATTTATCTTTCGATTTGCGCTATATTTTGCATATCGTATTGAATTGAGTCTATATTAAACTGTGTCAAGTTTCGAGAAAATTGGGTCGGGTAAATGGTGCACCGAAGTTCCTATATATCTTTCGATATGTAGGCTTTGTGAATATCGGTTCAGATTTAGATATAGCTCCCATATATATTTTCGTCCGATTAAAAACGGGACAGATTTAGATATAACTCCCATATATATTATTCTTCGATTTTATCTAAATTGTGCACTAAAGACCCAACGTTTGTACGATTAGCATACAATTTTGTAGATTGTACTGATGTTAATATAAATTAATCGCTGGAAGTTTCGTTCGTATATATTTTTTTTACACAACGTATCAAATTGATACTAGAATGACGTTATTGCGTTTTATTAAAAATGATGCAGATGCAGACACAGCTTCCATATATATTTCAAACGGTTGTCTAATTGTGATTTTTGAGGAGTGAGGCATACTAATAGCGTGTCCCATTGTACGCAAACGACTCTAAACTTGCCAAATGAAATGAAATGCATAACTATTACACATTCAAGTTCGTTCCATTTCAATCAATTCAATATATATTTTTGTTTTTCTTACTTTCCATACGTTAATGTAGCCTTCTAATATATGATTTTTTTCTCTCTATTTCAGTTTATATAAAATCGGATCACCTAAAAATAAGATGAAAATGGGTAAGTGATGTTTAAAAATATTCTCATATCTCCGTGGAGGTCTCGTTCTCCACGTACATTTCTCGTAAATGCAATTTCATCAAGTCAGTGATAACTTTGACACAAAACTGGCATTATTCTCTATTTCCGATACTCATATTTCGCTGGTATAAAATGAAGAGGCGTCGAAATTAAGTCAAATTTTGAAACAAAGAAACCTATCAAACCTTTACATTCAAATGTTCCTATTTTCGCAGTTAGATGCATCGGTATTGAAATGGAGATCATTTTCTTACAAACATCTGCATAACGACTTAATACACAGTGTCAATATATGGTGAAAGGTATAAAAAATAGCACGACTCTTTGCTAATCAGTGCGAAAATATTTCAAAGTCTTATTCTTTATTGAATGCAAATATTTACATTTTTTATTTTAAAACTTCTCAAATTGTTCTATTCTCTTTTAATCGAAATTAGTTTCTCCTCGTTTCTCCATTCACCAATTTTTCAAACTTTTTTCTTCAGAATTGTTTTTGTTTAACCGCAAAGTAGTTTACCACATGTCGTTCACATTAATTAAATTTATTCAAAACAGTAAAAATCGAATATGCCGTTTTCATAATCTGTAATTGAATAAGAAAAGTTCATTAAAATTTTCTCCATATTGATGAAATATCCCCACATTTTTGCGTTTCACTTACCGATACAAATGTTGGCAACATGACGGGTATAAAATTACCAGCCTTTAGGCAATTTGTCATTTGTGCGCGATGCAGCACCAACAGTAAAGCTTTTTTAAATTTTCCATCACGATCCATCCAATTTGTTGCGTAAATCGAATCGATTAGAAATTCATTAGCCTGGCAATATAAATCACCGAAATAACACAAAACTAGAATTTCAATTGTGACCGCGCAAAAGAAAACCGAACTATTTAATAGACGTGAAAAATCATCACCCACATAGAGAATGTAAACACCAATGATGCACTGAGCTAGGCCGGTGGCAATAAATTGTGCCAGACAGGTTGTAGAGAGGCACTCCTGGATGGTCAGATATAGGCTGTGAAGTAAAGGAAGGGTGATAAAAATAACTATAGAGAAATAAATATAATGGGATTGAAATTGAAATCATTATACCCTCCACCATAATGGAGGGCACACTGTGGTACAGGGTATTATGTCTTTGTACAAATGTTTGTAACAGGCAAAAAGAAACGAGATAGACACATAGTTCTTTGTGAGAATATGCATAGAATCACTTTCTGAGTCGATTTATGTCGATTCGAGATCTGTCCGCCTGTTCGTCTGTCCATGTTAAATTGTAAACAAAGACAGATCGTATTTATGATCTGAATTGTATAAATTTTGGCACAGCTCATTTATTTGGCCAAGGACTATTGAGATTTGGAAAAATCGGTTCAGATTTAGATATAGCTCCCATATATAGTTTCGTCCGATTTCATGTTAATGGTGCACCAAAGTCCCTATATATTATTTGATTTGCTCGAAATTTGGCAAAATGCACTGAACTGGGTCTAGAATGATGTGTATGAAGTTTCCTGAAAATCGGTTCAGATTTAGATATAGCTTCCATATATATTTTCGTCCGATTTAATATAAATGGTGTACCAAGGTCCCTACATATCTTTTGATTTGCACCAAATTTGGCACAACGTTCTGAATTAAGTCTAGAATGATGTGTGTTAAGTTTCGTGAAAATCGGTTCGATTTCGATATAGCTCCCATATATATTTTCGTCCGATTTAATGTAAATGGTGCCTAAAGTCCTCATATATCTTTCGATTTGTCCGAAATTTGGCAAAGCGCACTGAACTGAGTCTAGAATGATGTGTGCTAAGATTTGTGAAAGTCGGTTCAGATTTAGATATAGCTCCCATATATATTTTCGTCCGATTTAATGTAAATGGTGCACCAAAGTCCGTTTATATAATTTGATTTGCACGAAATTTGGCAAAGCGCACTGAACTGGGTCTAGAATGATGTGTGCTAAGATTTGTGAAAGTCGGTTCAGATTTAGATATAACTCTCATATATATTTTCGTCCGATTTAATGTAAATGGTGCCTAAAGTCCTCATATATCTTTGGTTTTGTCCGAAATTTGGCATTGCGTACTGTATTAAGTCTAGTTTTATATTATGATACATATGTAGAATATACAAAAATTGGTGAAGGATGTCATATAGTGGCCCCAGTCCGACTTTACTTGCTGGTTCTGTATTGATTTAGTCATGTCCGCCATTCTGTTGAAATTACGATATAGCATGAACGATTTTTGGACTTTTTAAATGTTTTTTTATTTACTTACTCATGAACATTTTCATGGTCCTTAACACAATTTGACAACTCCCGATAATATTCCTCTTGCGAAATTGGTTCCAATGGAGTTTCTCCTTCCAAAATTCCCAAAGATTGAATACGCAAAGCCAATGCCCTTATATGGGCAATCAATATAACAATATAGGCCTGTGGATATGTATCATTACCAAGATTTTGTCCCAATTGTGCCGATACAGCATAAATTTGAAAGAGGAGAGCAAACAAAAAATTCCCTCGTGATGCCTTCCAATCCCAGGGTAACCATGATGGATACATGAGGACTCGTTCACTGGAGAAATACACAACCAATTGACTGGTAATTACGGCACATATATATAAACGCAAAAATATCATAAAGCATTTGTGGGCCATGGTAATTCCATTTTCCAACTCTTGTCGCTGTTCCGCTGTCCTTGCCCTGACATCTAAGTGTTCCAAAAGGAAACGAACATCTAACAATTTCTTCCTTATCAGCACCACATTTATAAATTTAATACTGGAAAATACAACTGTCACTGTTACATATAGATTTTGAAATATTTCCGTTAGATTTTGAGAGAGCAGTAAATCCAATACAAGGCTCAGTGGGAATAATAATGTCGTCAAATTGAAAATAATGGCATAAGCAAGATATGGCTTTAACCATTTGGAGTCAGGTGTAGGTGGCTGCAAGCCACACAATTTCCACAACATCCAATGATATTTGAATGCCTGCCAAGTGTTAATATCGTTGACGAATAATTTTGACATTTCGGAGTTTATTTTTCCTCTCGTATACTGTCATCCGGTTTCCTTGGTATTAATTTCCCTCTTATGCTGGTTTGAAGGTGGTGTATAAACTAAATTTTCTTTTACAAATATTGCAAATTTTCCATAAGTCCAACTAAGAAAACTAAGCAGTTTTGCGGTTTTATGTGACACTTGGGCTTCTGTTATACCACAACAACCATAAACGAAGTCAAGCGTTAATGAATCGTTTATGACTTCTAACCACAATGTCTTTTAACCAATCAATTCGCTTTAAATTTCCTGCAGAGTTTCAGCTCAATGGGACATTGAGAAGGTTCATTGTTTTTAATAACTATTACATAATAAACAATAAATATTTATAAGTAGAATGTGTATTATACATATATAATTAATAAATTGGTTAACCCTTGAAAAAAATATTCTCCAGCTAATCTCTGAACAAAAATGTATAAATTCCACGCTTCAGCTAACACCAGAAACATTTTTTTATAAATTCCACGCTTCAGCTAATTTATAAAAAAAATTTATAAATTCCACGCTTCGTTAAAGCATTGAAAAAGAAAATTTTTATAAACGTATAACGCTTCGTATAACACCTGAAAAAGTATTCTTTAAAAAATCCACGCCTCCGATAACCATTGAAAAACCAGTAAGGAAAGTAGTAAAGTCGGACTGGACCGACTATATGATACCCTTCACCACTTTGGGTATATTCTACATATGTATCCTAACAGACGCCGCCGTTTCGAAAGAACATTGACATGAAATTGAACGAACTTAAATATGCGATCATTATCTATAAAAAATCTATAAACTACTAAAATCTATCCCAACACATGCCATTCTGCAACCTATTCTAAATGTTGTAAATAGATTTAATGCAAACCTTACACACGCTATTTGGTATGTTTGACTGTTTAAAATCAGGCACCCATTGATTATTTAGTGTACAATCAACATGAATGGGTCGAAATTATATATGGAAGCTGTGCTATATCTAAATCTGAACCGATTACAAGGAAACTTGCCAGATATTAATTTATACTAATTTTAGTACGTTGGGTCAATGGGCCTAGCTATGGGTCTTTAGTGCAATATTTACTTAAAATCAGACAAAAGTATATATAGGAGATCTATGTAAATCTGAACCGATTTCAAAAAAAACCAGTGAGCGGAACAGTATAGTCGGACGGGGCCGACCATATGATACCCTACACAACTACCACGAAAAGCAAACTTTCGGCGGTTCTATATTCCGATCCTGGGCAATATTTCGTGATATTTGCATCCTTTTTACCGATTATAGATCAACAACTCCACTTTCTAAGTCTTGCATATTTTCCAAAATGTTTTTTCATGGAGTGAATTTTTACGCCATAAAATAAAATATTGGTCACTTTATGTTTTGGTTGATTTGACCCTTGAATTGACCGATCATCATCTAAACAGTCGCTTTAAGTATTTGGTCAGATCCCCTTCACCTTGTAAAATATGTGATGTTCTGTATATAATAATTGCCACTAGAGCGACTAGAAATTCTGACAAAATTAAAGTCTTCGGTTCGTTGCACCCCCTGAATGAAATCTCAACTTCACCGAAAACTATAGGCGTCGTCCTTGACCATAATCGGAAATTCATGTACAATTTCAAAGCGATCAGCACGACATTTCCGTCCTCTAATGGAGTAATAATAATACTATGCACATAGTCACCTTTACCTAATTAGGTATAACTCCCACATCAGAGTACATACAGTCATATAATTGGTATCAATTTGAAGGTCAACAACTCCTCTTGGATATACTATCAACTTCTCGGGTATATGTCCTTCAGGAGCAAGTATATACACCCCAGAATAAAAATTTTGTGATTTTTCACACAAAAGTCAGGGTCCAATATTGACCGATCTTTATCAAAAAAGGCATGCTTATTCTTAAGCCCGATCCCCTTCTCCATGTAAAATTTCATGATGTTCGGACCATAACTGCGGCCTCTGGAGCGACCAGACAAACCGAAAAAAATTTACTATTTGGTCAATTACCAAAAACAATAGGGGTCTTCATTGGACCGAACCCAACCTACATGGAAAATTTCGTGAAGATTGGTCCATAACTGTGGCCTGTATCGTGTTTACAAATTATAATGGACAGACGGACGGACGGACGGACACACATGTCTAGGTCGACTCAGCTAGTCGAGATATGACGATCGATATACTTAAAGGTGGGTCTAGGACCAATATTTCGCGGCGTTACAAACTTTTGGGTCTGCACAAAGCTATAATACCCTGACAACATAGTTGTGTAGGGTATAATTAAGTTTTCGGTCCACTTCATTCCAAAATTATTATCTGATCATCACCAAATATTATATGCGTTGTCCTTGACCATAATTGGAACCTAATGGAGCATTTCAAAGCGATCAGCGCTATAGTTCCGCTCTCTAGAGTGATAATGGGTTACCAAATAATAAAGGAATACGGAGATACCTGTAAATATTTAGGTGTAACTCCCACATCCGAACACATACAACAATATAATTGGTATTAATTTAAAGGTCAACCACTCCTCTTGGATATAATATCAACTTCTCGGGTCTATGTCCTTCAGGGGTAAATATATACGCTATAGAATACAAATTTTGCCATTTTTCACACAAAAGTCAGGGTCCATTTGACCCGCTAAATATTGACCGATCTTTATCAAAACAGGCATGCTTATTCTTTGACCCGATCCCCTTCTCCATGCAAAATTTCACGATGTTCGGGCCATTATTGCGGCCTCCGGAGCGACCAGAAAAACCGAGAAAAAATTAGTATTTGGTCCATTTCATCTCCTAAATATTAACCGATCTTTCTCAAAAACAATAGGGGTCTTTATTGGCCAAAACCCATCCTACATGCAAAATTTCGTGAAGATTGGTCCATAACTGTGGCCTGTATCGTGTTTACAATTTATAATGGACAGACGGACGGACGGACACACATGTCTATATCGACTCAGTTAGTCGAGATATGACGATCGGTATACTTAAAGGTGGGTCTAGGACGGCGTTACAAACTTTTGGGGCTGCACAAAGCTATAATACCCTGACAACATAGTTGTGTAGGGTATAAAAACTTGACACACGAAAGGTTATAGTAACTTCAGTACATTCAACAAAGTTGTGTACCGGTCGCCCAATCTTTGGGTCTTTTATGCCCAATTTACAATAAATCGGACGAAAGTATATATGGGAGCTATATCTACATTTAAACCGACTTTAACGAAACTTAGCACACACCATTCTGTATCTAATTCAGTTCCCTATACCTAGAATGATATATAGGGACTTTGGAGCCCCATTTACCTAAAATCGGGCGAAACTATAAATGGGAGCTATATCTAAATCTGAACCGATTTTCACGAAACTTAGCACACGTCATACTAGACTTAATTCAGTACGCTGTAACAAAATTCGTGCAAATCGAATTATTTTCAGGGACTTTTGTGCACAATTTACCTAAAATCGGGCGAAACTATATATAGGAGCTATATCTAAATCTGAACCGATTTTCGCGAAACTTAGCACACATCATTCTGGACCTAATTGAGTGCCAAATTTCATGCAAATAGAAACATATATAGGGACTCCGGTGCTCAATTTACATAAAATCGGACGGATATATGCGAACCATATCTAAATCTCACCCGATTTTTTCAAAACTTTACCCACGTTATTCTAGACTCAATTCAATACACTATGCTAAATTTCGTCCAAATCGAAAGGTATATAGGTGTTTTGGTGCTCAATTTACATAAAATCGGACAAAACTATATATGGGAGCTATATCTAAATCTGAACCGATTTTCAGGAAACTTAAAACACATCATTCTGGACCTAATTCAGTACCCTGCGCCAAATTCCGTGCAAATCGAATGATATATGGGGACATTGGTGTCCCCCTTACCTTAAATCAGACGAAACTATATTAGGGAGTTATATCTAAATCTGAACCGATTTTCAATAGGGTTCGTCCCAGGGACAAGTAAATGACTTGTGACAAATTTCATCCAAATCGGATGTACTTTGTTTACAATTTAACATCTATAGACGGACGGACATGCATAAATCGACTCAGAAAGTAATTCTATGCATAACCATGTGTCTATCTCGTTTCCTTTTGCTTGTTACAAACATATGCACAAATACATAATACCTTGTACCACAGTGTGGTGAAGGTATAAATATTCTTCAAAAAATTCCCTCCTGTATTGGTCCTTAAAAAATATTCTTCAAAAAATCCACGCCTACGATAACCCATAAACAAAAAATAATTAAAAAAATCCACATCCCCGATAACTCTTAAAAAATATTCTTTAAAATTCCACACCTCCGATATGTAGAAAAAATATTTGTTAAAAAATCCACGCCTGTGTTAGTCCAATTCACTTCTCACATTACCAATTTACCTTTAATTTTCATTAATTTAATGACACGTTTCTCCTATTGCATTTGTATTTTATTACATCAATTTATACACTAATTGTAACTAAATACATATTATATATTTATATGTATATATGTGAGGGTACAACAATATCTGTAACAAATATGCAATTTATTGTAGCATCCCTCCAGCCAGCCAGTCAGCTCGCTTGCCATCCCATATGCCATCACATCCCGTATCGATTGTTATGGTCATTTAATTAACTTCATTTAATACAGTAAAAGCTGAATAAGCAGTTTTCATAATCTGTAATTGAATAAACAAGTAGCAAATTAATATTATTAATTGAGAATAAATATGAAAGTGTGTGTGACCGGACGAAACTGGACCGCACCGACGAACCAAACAATGTCCAATGTTACACTTCTGGCGACAAAGTGTTTACATAATCCAATAAAATATCTATTAATTATTCTTATGCAAATAATACAATTTGCCATGAATATTATAATGTAATGACCACCACTGGAGAAGAATTCCGAGAGTTGATACTGGATTTAATTACATTCATTTACACACATACAAACACACTACATTTGGAATGGAATTGCTGTAGATTCACATACCTTAACAAATGTTGGCAATCGTACTGGTATCAAATTGCCAGCCCTTATACAATCCGTTTGTTGGGAACGTTGCAACAACAACAGCAAAGCCTTTTTAAATCTCTCATCCCGTTCGATCCAATTGCATTCGTAAATGGCATCGATAAGAAAATCATTGGCCCGACAATACAAATCTCCAAAATAGCATAAAATTAATATTTCAATGGTAATGGCACCGAAGAACATAAAGCTGTTCAGTAGTCGTGAGAAATCCGACCCAACATAGATAACATACACACCGATGGTGCACTGGGCCAAACCGGTGGCCACAAATTGTGCTAGACATGTTTTCGAAATACACTCTTGGATGGTGAGAAAGAGTCTGAAAATAGGAGGAATATATGTACAATTTTTGAGAATGATCCCTGAAAACGCTTTTTTAAAATGATCCCTAAAATCTACAAATTTCATCCTTTGAGCCTTGAAAAAATATTCTTTATAAAAGAATCCAAGCCTCCTTTGAGCCTTGAAAAAATATTTTTTCAAAAAAATTAAAATATCCTTTTTAAAAAATATTCTTTTGAAAAAATATTCTAATTCAAAAATCCACACCTCCTTTGAGCCTTGAAAAATATTCTTAAAAAAAAACACGTCTCCTCTGAGCCTTGAAAAAATATTCTTTAAAAAATCCACGTCTCCTTTGAGCCTTGAAAAAATATTCTTTAAAAAAATCCACGCCAACTTTGAGCCTTGAAAAATATTCTTTAAAAAAACCACGTCTACTCTGAGCCTTGAAAAGCCTTGAAAAATATTCTTTAAAAAAATCGACGCCAACTTTGAGTCTTGAAAAATATTCTTTAAAAAAATCGACGCCAACTTTGAGTCTTGAAAAATATTCTTAAAAAAAAACACGTCACCTCTGAGCCTTGAAAAAATATTCTTAAAAAAAAATCCACGTTTCTTTTGAGCCTTGAAAAAATATTCTTTAAAAAAATCCACGCCAACTTTGAGCCTTGAAAAAATATTCTTTAAAAAAAATCCACGTTTCTTTTGAGCCTTGAAAAAATATTCTTTAAAAAAATCCACGCCAACTTTGAGCCTTGAAAAAATATTCTTTAAAAAAAATCCACGTCTCTTTTGAGCCTTGAAACAATATTCTTTAAAAAAATCCACGCCAACTTTGAGCCTTGAAAAAATATTCTTTAAAAAAATCCACGCCAACTTTGAGCCTTGAAAAAAAAATTTAAAAAAATTCACGCCTCCTTTGAGCATTGAAAAAATATTCTTAAAAAAATCCACGCCTCCGTTAAGACTTGAAAAATAATCTTTAAAAAATCCACGCCTCCGTTAAGACTTGAAAAATAATCTTTAAAAAATCCACGCCTCCGTTAAGACTTGAAAAATAATCTTTAAAAAATCCACGCCTCCGTTAAGACTTGAAAAATAATCTTTAAAAAATCCACGCCTCCGTTAAGACTTGAAAAATAATCTTTAAAAAATCCACGCCTCCGTTAAGACTTGAAAAATAATCTTTAAAAAATCCACGCCTCCGTTAAGACTTGAAAAATAATCTTTAAAAAATCCACGCCTCCGTTAAGCCTTGAAAAATAATCTTTAAAAAATCCACGCCTCCGTTAAGACTTGAAAAATAATCTTTAAAAAATCCACGCCTCCGTTAAGACTTGAAAAATAATCTTTAAAAAATCCACGCCTCCGTTAAGACTTGAAAAATAATCTTTAAAAAATCCACGCCTCCGTTAAGACTTGAAAAATAATCTTTAAAAAATCCACGCCTCCGTTAAGACTTGAAAAATAATCTTTAAAAAATCCACGCCTCCGTTAAGACTTGAAAAATAATCTTTAAAAAATCCACGCCTCCGTTAAGACTTGAAAAATAATCTTTAAAAAATCCACGCCTCCGTTAAGACTTGAAAAATAATCTTTAAAAAATCCACGCCTCCGTTAAGACTTGAAAAATAATCTTTAAAAAATCCACGCCTCCGTTAAGACTTGAAAAATAATCTTTAAAAAATCCACGCCTCCGTTAAGACTTGAAAAATAATCTTTAAAAAATCCACGCCTCCGTTAAGACTTGAAAAATAATCTTTAAAAAATCCACGCCTCCGTTAAGACTTGAAAAATAATCTTTAAAAAATCCACGCCTCCGTTAAGACTTGAAAAATAATCTTTAAAAAATCCACGCCTCCGTTAAGACTTGAAAAATAATCTTTAAAAAATCCACGCCTCCGTTAAGACTTGAAAAATAATCTTTAAAAAACCCACGCCTCCGTTAATACTTGAAAAATAATCTTTAAAAAATCCACGCCTCCGTTAAGACTTGAAAAATAATCTTTAAAAAATCCACGCCTCCGTTAAGAAGACTTGAAAAATAATCTTTAAAAAATCCACGCCTCCGTTAAGACTTGAAAAATAATCTTTAAAAAATCCACGCCTCCGTTAAGACTTGAAAAATAATCTTTAAAAAATCCACGCCTCCGTTAAGACTTGAAAAATAATCTTTAAAAAATCCACGCCTCCGTTAAGACTTGAAAAATAATCTTTAAAAAATCCACGCCTCCGTTAAGACTTGAAAAATAATCTTTAAAAAATCCACGCCTCCGTTAAGACTTGAAAAATAATCTTTAAAAAATCCACGCCTCCGTTAAGACTTGAAAAATAATCTTTAAAAAATCCACGCCTCCGTTAAGACTTGAAAAATAATCTTTAAAAAATCCACGCCTCCGTTAAGACTTGAAAAATAATCTTTAAAAAATCCACGCCTCCGTTAAGACTTGAAAAATAATCTTTAAAAAATCCACGCCTCCGTTAAGACTTGAAAAATAATCTTTAAAAAATCCACGCCTCCGTTAAGACTTGAAAAATAATCTTTAAAAAATCCACGCCTCCGTTAAGACTTGAAAAATAATCTTTAAAAAATCCACGCCTCCGTTAAGACTTGAAAAATAATCTTTAAAAAATCCACGCCTCTGTTAAGACTTGAAAAATAATCTTTAAAAAATCCACGCCTCCGTTAAGACTTGAAAAATAATCTTTAAAAAATCCGTTAAGACTTGAAAAATAATCTTTAAAAAATCCACGCCTCCGTTAAGACTTGAAAAATAATCTTTAAAAAATCCACGCCTCCGTTAAGACTTGAAAAAATCTTTAAAAAAACCACGCCTCCTTTCAGACATGAAAAAATATTCTTCAAAAAAATCCATGCCTCCGTTAAGACTTGAAAAATAATCTTAAAAAAATCCACGCCTCCGTTAAGACTTGAAAAATAATCTTTAAAAAATCCACGCCCCCGTTAAAACTTGAAAAATAATCTTTAAAAAATCCACGCCTCCTTTAAGACATGACAAAATATTCTTTTCCGTTAAGCCTTGAAAAAATATTTTTTTTAAAAAATCCACGGTTCGGTTAACCCTTACCCTCTCATTACTTACTCATGAACAATTTGATGATCTCGAACACAATTAACCAACTCCTGATACAATTCATCATTGGATAGCTGTCTCGATTTTGATGCTGCTGCTGCCGTTGACTCGCCCAATGATTTGATGCGTAACGCCAATGCACGAATGTGAGCAATCAACACGACTATGTAGGCCTGCGGATATGTATCACTGCCCAGATTTTCCACAGTACATACGGACACCGCATATACCTGATAGCAATGGGCAAACAGGAAATTCCTTTTCGATGCCTTCCAATCCCATGGAAACCATGATGGATACATTAGTACCCGTTCCTTGGATAGATAGACCACCAATTGGCTGGTGATGACAGCACACGTATAGAATCGTAAGAAGGCCATAAACCATTTGCGAGTCGTATCAATGCCACGTTGTAACTCTTGCCGTTGTTGCGGCGAATTGGCCCTGACATCTAATCGCTCCAATATCCATCGCACCTCCAACAGTTTGTGGCGCACCGTAAAAACGTTGACGAACTTAAGGCCACAAATCACGGCGGTTATTGTCACGTAGAGATTTTCGCATAGCTCCGTAAGATTCTGGGAAAATATTAAATCGACAATCAGAGTGAGGGGAAACAGAAGGGCGGTGGTCACATTTAGAATAATGCCATACACCAGGTATGGCTTTAACCAGCGGCTGTCACGTTTTGGCGGTAGAATGCCACAGAATTTCCACAAAATCCAATGATTGCGAAATGCTTGCCATGTGTGAATTTTATGATTAGAGGTTGACGAGTGCGACGATGTCTGCATTTCCCTTCTATCCACCAATGGATTGATATGTAGCAGCTAAACAAGAACACCAACAACAACAAATTGACGCATAAAATTCTCACTCTTAAGCCAATTTTGTTGTTTTTGTTTCTATCCGTTAACAAATAGTGTTGCAATGTGTTGTTTCCTGTTTCCGTTTCCGCTACACTTTATATTATAGCGAACGCTTGGCTGGTTCGTTGGTCGATGGTTCGGTCGTAAACCGAATTTTTCAATAAAAACACGGTCAAACGATCAACTTGAATTCCTTGATGCTTTTAACGATGGCTACAATGATGCTTTCTAGTTTTATATAGAAGGACGCTTGTTTTAACGCCAAACACACACACACACACATCACTAACACCGCTACCACCACACATAAATTGTCCAAAGTGCTAAGCAGAGTGCTGGCTGCACGCAATCGGAAGAAAAACTTATAAATGTTGATTTTTCACATGCGAACAGTGTTCTGAAATAGGCATTCTTATTAAAAGGCTGCCTGAGTTTTCAAGGATTTTTTATAAAAAGGCGTGGATTTAAAAAAAATATATTGTGGCGTAGGGGATGATAGATACCAAGCAACGGCTCTGATTGGCTTTAACATGGCGAAGCCCAGGCTTATCTTGGTCCCTCTTTCATCTCAATTGTAGACACTGACCTCCCCGCGATGTCACCTAGGGTACCTATTTTCATCATCCGTTGAAATAGTGAGCTGATATGTACCCATATGAACTACACACTCGGAAACCCCCTCCTACGACGACCCCCGCAAAGGACCACGATCTGCGAATCTGCACTTGGAATGTGCTACTAAAGAAGTACAAAGCCGATATTATTGCCTTCAGGAAATGCGATGAAAAGGGGCAGGCGTAAGTAAATCAGACGATTACGCACTGTATTATAGCTGCCATGAAACGATACATGAATTTGGCTGCGGATTTATAGTTAACAGGAGAATAAAAGACCTCGTCTCCAGATTCACTCCAGTAGATGAGATGATATAATCCGCATCAGTCTTATTTGCGCCCATGCTCGACCGAAGACAAAGATGAGCAGACCAAAGACATATTTAACGAACACATAGAAACAGCATATGATTGCTGCCCTGGCCATCAGATTAAAATTCTACTAGGCGATTTTAATGCAAAAATCGGAAGGGAAAATATCTTTGGCCCCACCGTCGGAAAATTCAGCCTTCATGGAATTGATCATGTTGTAATAGACGGAAGGCATTCATTCAACTTACCCACCTGCTTGACGAAAGCACTTCTAGTCCGGATAATAGTATAGAAGCACAATGGCAAAGAATTGTCCACTCCCTACAAACTGCAGCAAAAACAACACCTGGGTACCAAAAACCACCATCAAGAAACCCATGGTACGATCGTGAGTGTCGTAATGCTACTGATGTGAAAAACGCAGTGTATAGGGCAACCCTGCAGACAGTAGCAACACGTAATGCGATCGAGAATTATGGGGAGAAAAGGAGAGAGGAGAAAAGCATTTTGAAAAGCTTCTGGTATCAAATAGTGGCGGTGTAGAAGAACCAATAAGAGATGATGGTAAAGAGTGTATACAATCTAGCCAAGATGAGGTCAAAAAAGCAATTAATCGGCTCAAGAACAATAAAGCAGCAGGAGCAGACGGGTTACCAGCCGAACTATTCAAGACTGGTGGTCAGATGCTGGTCATGAGCATCCACCAGCTGATTAGTACAATTTGGCTAGAAGAATACATGCCCAATGATTGGAACCTCAGCATCCTGTGTCCCGTGCGTGGAGACAAGACGATATGTGCCAACTATAGAGGAATTAACCTTTTTCCCATCGCATATAAAGTGCTATCCAGTGTGATGTGTGAACGATTGATCAATGACATTATTATACCAATGCGGCTTCAGACCTGGCAAATACACCATTGACCAAATCCTGGAAAAGACCCATTAAATACACACCGACACATTTCACCTATTCGTCGACTATAAAGCCGCATTCGACAGCCCTATACGTTCAGAGGTGTTTAAAGCCATGTATACGTTCGGCATTCCTGCAAAATTAATACGGCTATGCAGGATAACTCTAAGTGGCAAAAGGTCAGCAGTTAAAGTCGGAAAGGACATATCGGAGCCCTTCAATACCGAACGAGGATTCAGACAAGGTGACAGGTTATACGAGACGCAAAGGTGAACAGAAAGATCTACAGCTCCGAAAGATCTGCGTCAACGGTGAATATCGGCGTCGAATCACGATCAAAGCAAAGCCCAAGTAGAAAACAACATCTTGGAACGTGGTTTTTTCAAATTGGAGGAGATGCGCACAAGACCGACGAGCTTAGAAATCATTTTTAAGATCGGCTTATGGAACAGGATTTATTAAAAAATATTCTTCAAGGATACCAAAAGGCGTTGTTTTATCTTCTATATATGTATATATAAAAATGAATTGCTGTTCGTTAGTCTCACTAAAACTCGAGAACGGCTGAACGGATTTTTCTGATCTTAGTCTTGAAATGTTCGTGGATCTTCAGGGAAGGTTTAAAAGGTGAGAAAAATTCGAAAACCGCGAAAAAATTTGCAAAAAAAAAAATATGAAAAAAATATTTTGAAAACAAATATTCATTTGTCAAATATTGAAAATTTTCAAAATATTTTATTTTATTCAATTGACATTGTAATGAAACTTTTTTTCTGAGAATGCAAAACAATAATAGAGAAGTATACGCGATCATTGTATGTACACGTCCTCCATGAAATTCACGTACATTTTGGGACAAATGCAAGGATGAAAATCTGAAGATTCAGAAAAGAGTTCCGATTCTAAGACACATGCCCTAGATTATTCTTCTTGAAAATAATAATAATAATAGGAACATAGGAACATGTTGTTATTGAAGTACCTAAAATGTACCATTATATGGTGGTTATATGCCTAATCGTTGGTCAATGTCTTTAATCGCATATGTGTATCACAGAGAAAATTAAGTTCATATTGAAAGAGAACAACTATAAAAAGCATTTGTTATAACAAAGAGTCTCATGATGTTACATCAATATATCAACTACCGATATATTTAATACCATGAAAAATCGGTGTTAAGGTCGAACTTTTGTACTTTCTAATATGTAGATTCTTTAAATCGGCCGGGACATTTTTATGGGGACTATGTTACACAGTACGTGTAGTAGATTGGAAAACGGGGGGTAAGAACTTCAACATACTGAAAATTAAACGAGAAATATGTATGGCGCCTTTTTATTACATTAAGCCAAATCCATGATCCATCCATTCCGTCAAATTCTTTACAAAACCGAAATTGGCGCGGGACCCGTATGTAGGAGCTATACAAAATTTGGTCCCGAATAGAAATGTTTCCGCAAATGTGTTTTACCCTTTCAATATCACGGAATGATATATGATATGAATGACATACGATACTACAATGGGTATGGATATATACTAATACCACATGAGAAAATACCGAACAATAAGAGTATATCATTATATGTATATCAATATATGGGGCTACCCGGACCAATTTGCACCAATGTTGATAATTTTTTGTAAATAGGTTTTCTTCATCCAAAATAAAACATTACAGCACTTCGGCTGAAACACTCCCTAAATGGGGATATCCCGCCGTTAAATGGGGATATCCGAATACTTGAGTCAATATGGAAAATTCTAATTAGGGAGAATTTCTGCCCAATAAGTATCCCTAATATTAGGTTTGGGAAAAAGAAATCCATTAGACCGGTGGAACGATCGAATTTTACAGGTATGTCGTAACATTGTCCAGGAGCTAAAAATTAAACCATTCACACAAAGCTGGATTCAAAAAGAAGCTCAATGTTTGGGTGCCTCACCAATTAACAGAAAAAATGGAATGGATCGAATTTCCATCTGCGAAGCCTTGACCAAACGGAATGAGATACTCTAATTTTTATAAACGGATGGTGACTGGAAATGAGAAATGGATCACGTACGATAACCCTATGCAAAAACGAGTGTGGTCAAAGAACGGTGAAGCACCTCAAACGGTGACCAAACCAGGACTAACGACCAGGAAGGTTCGGCTATGCATTTGGTGGGACTGGAAGGGGATTGTTTATTATGAGTTGCTTTCATATGGCCAAACGCTAAATTCTGATCTCTACTGCCAACAACTGTACCGTTTGAAGATAGCAATTGACCAGAATTGGCCAACAGGGGAGGTGTCGTGTTTCACCAGGACAACGCTTAGCCATCTTATGAGTAATACAAATGTATGTGCAAATATAAAATTTATATTTTAAATCGTGGAGGGAGCAACAAAACTCACTCATAAACATCAAATTCGGTTTTGTAATGTTACCCTATGTGTGCTCTGATAAATACCACGATGTTACAAAAATATATACAAATCACCTTATGATGGAGGGTATAAAAACAACCTAAAATGCCGAAAATTATACATCAACAATATTGTTAGGCAAGACAACGTTTGCCGGGCCCGCTAGTTAAAAATATTTTTCAAGGATTAATATAAGCGCGGACTTAAAAAAAGTATTTTTCAAGGATTAATATAGGCGCGGACTTAAAAAAATATTTCTCAAAGATTAAAATATGCGTGGATTTAAAAACAAATATTTTTTAAAGACCTGAATTTATTAAAAAATATTTATTCAAGGATAAACATTTTCCTAAAATCACTGTTCAATATATATCCCAACAAATACAATCAAGTGTGAAAATAAAATAGGTTTTTTTTGAGCTCACTCGCCCACACTCCTACGCCCCCACAACAATACAGTGTCGTCTGTGCCAGACATTGTCCGTTCTAACGAAATTACCCTCATAATTTGGTTTTATTTCGCAAAGCAATTTATACTGCCACCAAACAAAGTGAAAATGACCATCAGCTGCATTCCTTCACGCATTCCGAATAATTGGCAACAATTGAACTTTGCCAATTTTAGCTAACTTTAATAAAATGGCGAAGGGTGGGGAGAAGGGGGGTGCTGACAATTTTTTGAGTGATTCCCTGTATCTCCTTTT